GGGTAAAATTGGGAGTTCATGACCCACTTGAATCAAACTGTGAAATACGATGTATTAAGAACTATGTAATGTTATGAACGACCAATAAAAAAAAAAAAAAAAACTAAAATCCAATTTGACAAAGACTTATTGGATATAGACTGTGTAAAGTGCTAATGTGTTATGCTACACTGTTTGATATTGGGTCAATGAAAATAGGGGATGGGTGGCAATAATCCTTCATAGGGAAATATTTGACAATATTTAACAATGTTCATTTATTTTTAAATTCACCCATATTTAAATGTGAGCTGCAGCATGTCATTGTAACTACATATTTTGTTTTATCTAAACAATAAAACTCCTAAGCCATATATATAAACCATTTTATTCCCCTATAAATATCTTGGCCACATACTGGCAGAATCTGTGTTTTAAACAATGGTTTGTTTAGCACCAAGAGAACAAACTCAGAAGGCTGGCCTAGCTTTCTAATCTTCAAACTGATTCGACTGTGTAGGATCAATAAAAACCATACATTTAAATGGATTAAGCCTTATAAAGCATATTTAAGTTATCTATATTTTCAGTATCAATAAATATAGGATTAAAATATAAATAAGGCTTTAATATTATTATGCCATATTTTTTATTTTTATGAATAAAGCATATGAAAATTTTATAAATTCTAATTTTACAAAACACTGCTTTTAAGTTAAATTCTGATTTAATTTATGAGAGTTGCAGGTAAATATGATTTACCAATGTTATGTATGCCTCATTCATAGAATGGCAAAAATGAATATTTTTAAAAATATAAAGTATTAAAGATTACTGAAATTTGGTTTTTTTATCTTGAAAATTCATTTATAAAAAGCTTTCAATACAAATAAAACCTATTCAGCTTTAATATCTACAAAGACTAAGGAATACTATAATAATAAAGTTACTAAATAACAAGTTACTAAAATAACAAGTTCTTTATCTTGGCTTTAGAAAACAATGTTAAGTGTTACTGCCAAGTATTCTAAAAATATTAATACAATTCTTCTGTTGATTGGACTATGTTTCAGATTAAATACATGCAAATATACTTAATTGTCAAAAATGCAATAGGAAATATGGACATGTTAAGAATGGCCTATATCTAAACCCTGGTAAGTGAATAATAAAAGAGATGGTAAGAGGGCTGAGAATATAGCTCAGTCACAAGGCCATGGGTTCAATCCCCAGCACCACCAAAATAAAGAGAGAGAGAGGGGGGGGGGAGGGAGGGGCGGGGGAGGGAGGGAGGGAACACGAACACAGGACTAACTGGTTATAATTGCCAAAGGTATGTTTCTATACATGATTTGTGGGAAAGGGGTTCTGAAAGTATTCTCATATAATTTAGATAAGTTCAATACAGTCCACTGGACCAATTTTTTTTTTTTTTTTGGATATAAATGCAACTATGTATATACTTTAAAATTCTTACTTGACCTATCAGCAAATTTTGCACTGTTGATCACTTTCCCCCCCAAGCGGGGGGACTATCTTCTATATGTTGAAAGTCCCTAGGACTTCTTTCATAGGTTCTTTTATTTTTCCCTTTACTCCATTCTGTTTGTATAAAGCAGTTTAAATCACTACACTCCCACTGCTATCTCCAAAATCTTTAAAATCTCCAACTCCTAAAAAAACAACTTTTTAAAATTTATTTATTTGGGTATTGAGGATTAAACCCAGGGGCACTCAACCACTGAGCCACATCCCCAATGCTTTTTGTATTTTATTTAGAGACAGGGTCTCACTGAGTTTAGGACCTCACTAAGTTGCTGATGCTGGCTGTGAACTTTTGATCCTCCTGCCTCAGCCTCTCAAGCCACTGGGATAACAGGCATGTGCAACCATGTCTGGCAAAAACGTGACTCCAGAGTTGATTCATAGGACTCTACATGAATACTCATTGAGCACTTAAAAAAAAAAAAAAAACTTACCAGGTATAGTCAGTGTGMTAGGGTCACTATGGGACACACAAAGATTAGTTAAGACCAATAACCCTTTAAGTGGCCTGGCATGAAGAGGCCAAAGACCCAATAATGTGTGAAAGCTGAAGGTCCTGGTCCCATGGGCTACTGCTAAATACAGTCAACAGCTAGCTAAAAGTTCAAAAAACAAAGCAAGTTAGTTAGTACATGTGTAACAAGCAAAGTTTACTTCACAAATGCAGTTACTTTTCATTAATGTCATCAGTTAACATTAATGAATTATGAATTTTTCATAATGCTGAAGAGAAACCTCTACACTAACCCATGTGTACCAGTGATAAGGACAGAATGTTTGTGTCCATCTCAAAATTCACATATGGAAATCCTAACCCCCAGTGTGATGACATTAGGAGGTGGGACTTTTAGGGAAGAGGCACAGCTCTCATGAATGGTATTGGGCACTTATAAATAAGACACGAGAGGGTTCTCACTGCTTTCTGTCATAGAAGGATACGATGAGAAGAGAGCCATCTCTAAGCCATAAAGTCTGCCTTTACCAAAGACTGACAATGCTGGCACTCTAATATCAGACTTCAAGACTCCAGAACTATGAGAGATAAATATTTCTTGTTTAAGAACATTTAAGTCACTCAGTCTATGGTATTCTGTATACAGAAACTAAGAAACCCAGCAAGGAGATGTATTAAAAGACTAAAATCATCTTTGAAAACACTATGAAAAGCCTCTAAACTACTTCTGCTGCTCAAGTGTAAAATATCCATGAGCTGGTAATTCTTTTTATTTACAAAATTTATTCTCCTTATTAAAATTAAATGTGAAAACAGAGAGATACTATAAATTGGATTAATATCTAGTAATCCAAGGAACATGAGCACTAGTGTACCAATAGTCACAGTCCTGGGTAAGTGAAGACAACATGATAGGAAAGTTTTCTGAGGGGACAAAAAAGAGCTTAGAAAAAACAAAATGTTATGATATGTACTATCTAAACAGTAGATTCATGGCAATTTGTTATAGCCTATATTCTTTATTGTAGATTTTAAATAGTGCACAAATTTATAAAGAAAAAGTAAAATGTAGGCATATTTAAAAAAATATATATATATATATATAATTCCTGAAGGAATTAATTCACAAGTCCATTTTTAATAAAACTACTTGACATTTCCAAATAAGTTTATATTAATTTACAAACTGATATTTGTGTGAGAGTGTGTGTGTGTATGTGTGTGTGTGTATTTCTGATAAAGAAATCTATACATTTATTTCCATTTATCGATTTGGGCCTTTTCTTACAATATTCTCCCATATTAGAATTTTGCTTATATTTAAAAATAGAAATGTACTTAATTTCTTTTTTTCTTATTTAATAAATATATTTTTTGGGTTTATTTATTTATTTTTATTTATATGTAACAGCGGAATGCATTACAATTCTTATTATATATATAGAGCTCAATTTTTCATCTCTGGTTATATACATAGTATACTCACACCAATCCATGTTTTCATACATGTACTTTGGATAATAATGATCATCACATTCAACCATCATTAATTACCTCATGCCCCCTCCCTTCCCTTCTCACCCCTCTGTACTATCTAGAGTTCAAAAAATATGGAACGCTTCACGAATTTGCATGTCATCCTTGCGTAGGGGCCATGCTAATCTTCTCTATATTGTTCCAGTTTTAGTATATGTGCTGCTGAAGCAAGCACTGTACTTCATTTCTTAAACAGGGTTTCTTTCAGAAATCACTTAAATGAAATTAAGATCTTGCTTAATACATGCATGCACAAACATCAAAAGCTACATAATATATTACAATAGATTAACTGGTTTTAAAATTTTGGGGGACTTTTTGGAGAACATATTTATGACCCAAGAATTTAAATAAAGCTGGGTGCAGTGGTACATGCCTGTAATCTCAGTTACTAAGAAGGATGGGAGGTAAGAGGATTGCAAGTTTGAGACCAGCCTCAACAACTTAGCAAGGCCCTATGCAACTTAGCAAGACCCTGTGCCAAAATAAAAAATTAAAAAGGGATAGGGATGTAGTTCAATAGTAAAACATACCTGAGTTTAATCCCAGTATTAAAAAAAAGAAAAGAAAATTTAAATTAAAGCTAAGTAAAACAAACAGTAACATTTAGTATTTTTTTCTTCTTATTGGCACATTATAATTATATATACAGTGGGATTTGTTATTATATATTTTTAACATTTAGTTTTTAGTAAGAGTCTTCAAAATGTAAACGTCAATAATACCTTCCTTTTTTGGATTACAGATAAATTTTCCTCAAACCAAAAAAAAAAAAGTGTAATGGCTGGAAGTTCTGGTATTCTGATGAAGATATTAATTTAAATAAAAGTAGCCACCTTGTTTCAAGGCTTCTTCACAAAATTTTGAAAGTTTATATATTCATACACCAAAATAAATTACGTTAGCAACTCACAAAGCATATTTGAATTGAATAATATCCGACATTTTATTATATATTACCTGTCCCAAGGAGCAGAAGTCTCAAAAGATTCTCCAAAAACATAGTATTCCAAACCCAAGTCCTGTTAAGACACACAAAAATCACTAAACTACAACAGATGCAATAATCAGTAAGTAATATTGTTATTATTTCATGTAACTGTTAGTATTACATTTCTAATTTAACCTCAAATGCTTTTATTATCTATCCCATAAGAGCTCTGGGAAGGTGCCCTGAATGAAATATGATCTTCTTAAGGACAGGAATCTCGTGTCTTGCTTTCTTCTGTATCCCTGGCAGCAGAGAGAGTGCCTAAGACAGAACAGGAATTCAAAGATTTCTCCCGTGAATGGAGTGTCTATCCAGGAAAAATCTACGTACATATAGAGAAGACTAATAGAATAGATTTTTACTGTCTTAAATACCAAATTAACCAATATCAAAAATTGGTCATCAAGATGGAAGAAGTAGAGGGACAGAAGTTGAGAGGGAGTGGGATTAAAATAAGCAAGTATTTTCCTTTCTTCAAGTCAACTTTTCTTTAAAAACAAATTCCAAAAATAGTGTCTCTCTCCTTGAGGTTGACAGATTAGTCAAACATAGGGAAACAGAGGGATTTCTGCTTGGAAAATATTTTCTAGCTTACAAGATGTAATATTTATATTACAAGTAACTTATACCATTTGATTTCTTTACCCAGAGCACAACTGTCATCACAGCTAGAAAGATAGATTCACAAGACCACAGAATGTAAAGATTTGAAGAAAAAAAGTTATAAGGCAGAAAAATCAATACAGGTTTTAAATTTGCACTTCCCCTAAAAAGAATCACTTTGACTCTACTAGTGGTTGGCAGGGGGAAAAAAATGCAACTACTGATCTAAAAGGGTTGTTTTTCTCTTATGAATTCATTTATTCAGTAAACATATATCTGAACATGTAACAATGGCACTGTGCCCTGGAATTTTTTAAAAATATGAAACAAATAAATCTAGGGGAAAAATCCCTAATTTGCTTTTGACTCAGTTTTAACATTAATTGGAAACTTAAATTAAGACATTTACCCCAAACTGTATGTACACTGTACTTGCTACAACTGTATTTCATTTTCTAGAATTCTGAATTCAGTATTATAAGAAAATGATCAATACCCTTTGTTGAAACAACAAACAAAATTTTATCTATACTCAAAATACTTTCTATGAGAAGAACCGTGGATACTGACAATTTATGGATGTACACATAATGCATAAAACCTATTATCATTCATGATCTGTACATTCCTTAATCAGAAATCTTAACACAGTGGACAGGCAATAAATATATTTTTCCCCATTGGCACCACTAGGTGGGGGATAGAAAGGCACAGGACTAACAATATACTTCAAATTCACTGCAATTTTATAATTTAGATCTTAACTAGAATTAAATTCTTTCTAAAATGAGAAAATATTAATTCAAGCTTTCTTAAATAAGTAAAACCAAACTGTATATAAGTTTTTGTATTTCCTTCCAAACAATTTCTAACTGAAGAATTAGAAAACTTAGTAGTAAGGAAGCCAAATTCTCAATAGAGTAGCTGAGAAACGACCTTTTAGAATAAGATCATTCACATTAAATAAGAGGCAATATTTAAAAAACAAAACAAAACAATACTAATCACCCGGGAAACAGCAGAAAACAATTAAGAAACCTGAGTTTATTAGAAAATAGAAAGAAAAAAAAAACACTAAATAAAGGAAGAAATAAATTTCCAAAGAACAATGTCATGTAGCATAGATTTAAATATGACTAATGAAGTTTCTAACATATATCCCATAAAAATCTATAATCAGAAAAATTTTAGTGCTCAAGTACACATAAATTATTTATTTCTAAATAGTAATAATCACTAGTGAACCAATAACTACTTGGAATTAAGTTAAATATCAATTTTTAAAAAGACAAAGATTTATATACATAAAAAACAGATTGTAAATTAAGTGAGGAATGCTGCCAAATAAAACAGCTTGATTCTAACAAGGTAATGTTAGGAAAGGCATGTTCAATGTTCAGACAGAGAATGACTCCATTCTTTTAAAAGAAAAGACAGACATTAAATCATTTTTAAGTTACTCAAAAGCATAATTTGGTTTAAATGGGCTTCTGTAAAACCACAGCTAATGTAGGATTCATGTAAATGATGTGCTTAATTATCATATCTTAAGATGTTTAAGAAACTTAAAACTATGGTTTCATTCAAAGTAGGAAAGATTATTACTTGCAATGTAAATTAAATGACAAGGGAAATATGATGTAACCTACTCGAATGTATGCAATGACATAGGTCAGCAAATATCCTCTCTGCCCATTATCTTCTCCAGCTGCCAATCCACTGTGATTAAAGAACAAACTGTTAATACATTTTAAATGAACCATTAAAAAATATATAAACTAACCAAACTGATTTGATATCTAAAGAAAACTGCTTTTCCAGATTACATCTCATTTTTATCTTAATTTCATTTATATCAAAGAGATATCAAGAGAATAAGTTTAGACAAAAATCTAAAAATATTTTTAATATTTCAGTCTAGTCATTAATTTCAAAATTTATCCACCACACTAATAAAGATGAGTTATATTACTTTTCATATTCTCAAAAATAGCAGAGAATTAGTCATGAAAAATAGCTTAAATAAGCTTAATTCTCACATGCATAACAAGACACTTAAAAATTCTTATTTTATTATTAATATAGGCTGAGTATCCCTAATCTGAAAATCTAAAATCTAAACTATTCAGAACTTCCTGACTTTCTATTCTGGATGGATAAACACAAGTTAGTGTTAAGGAGTAGCAGACTTGACAGAATAGCTCTAGTCTAGAACTACTTGAGGACGGGCTATAATGAAATGCAGGGGACTGTTTGTATTAATAGAATGTTTATAAACAAGAAAGAAGCATTGCTGAAAGTGAAAAGTAAGAAAACACAGAAAAACAGTTCTGGGTTGGATGTGAGGTTGTAGGTAGAGAGCCAAATAAAGTCCTCAAACAAAAGGAACACATGTCAGAACACTGCAGGGACAAGTGCTTGGAGGAAAACAGATGAACCCATAACTCACGTAGATATGAAACAGTCAAGATTAAAACCAAAGGAGAAAAAACGCTATAGATCTAGAAAATACAAATGGTTCATCTTGGAACTAAAAGTAGAAGGAAAGGAGATAAGAGTGAAGCCTAAAAAAGGGTACAAGATACCTGTGCTAGGAATCTTTGAGAAGGAGCATGCTAAATATGTTAGGTGGTGAGAAGTAACAGGTGTGAATAAATATTCAGTTGGCCTATCTCTGTTAAGTACGGTTGAGAAAAAGTCCTTCTTTCCTCTCCCAGACAAGACATTTCTCTTTAGATTCTCTTCTAACATCTGGTGATGGTTTCTGTTTCACACTGGGATCCAGTGGGACAAACCACACAGAAACATGCATTGTTTTACTTAAAGTAGGAAGAGATTGAAATTGGATGTCCATTCTAAATTCATAAACCCCAAAGGAGAAAAAAAGTCAATTTGGGATTCTTTCCAAGTCATGTTTTCTAGCAAATTTAGCGTTTTAGAATTTTTCTTTATTTTTTTAAGTTTTTAAAACTGTCAATCTTCTAGTCTGAATTATCTTAAGATACAATTGTGTCATACAACATGAACACAATCACTTATGTAACCACTACAAAAAAAATACTATTTAAATTAAAGTAGCTTTAAAATTTTAAAGTAGCAACTTCCATCCCTTATTTCCTGCTCTTTGCAAATTTCAGACATCAATTCATGGTTCTTGAACAAATTTAAAGCTATTTCATGAGGAAGCACTGGGAAGACTAATGAAAGAGGAATGAGACAATCATTTATATAAAAGGGCCATCTGGTAAACCTAATCACTCTCATGTTGAATTATGTTAAACAACTTAAGCACACTTTAAAAATAATGATAATATATTACCTTAAGTTCTATGGTAAATGTCAAAACACCTGTCATGAGTGCTGACAAGTAACATTTATTCTCCTCAGTTCTTAGAAAAGTAAAAGCGTTTAGCCAACAAGGATAAACAACCAAGGTACGATGATTATTCAAAATTTGGTTACTAGGCTGTGTTGGGTCACATATGTTCAAAGGTATTTAACAGTGTCGGAGTGGAGTGGAAGATAAAGAGACAAAATGGCTAAGATAACATGTATTCTAGATTGTTCAGAGTACTTCATTAAAAGCAATCAACTTTAGCTAATAAGGTAATGGGAATACATGACAAAAGGAAGAAAAAATAATGGACAGATTAATAAAGCCCTAATTAAAAATTAAATACATGAACTAAATTAACATATAAAAACTTTAGCAGAAAAAAAGTTGGTGGTGCCTTCCTCTAAATTGTTATGCAGAAGTGACTGAGGATTCAGGGTTTTCGGAGTGGCATCTTAAAGAAAAATATCCCTGAGTCTTCAATAATTAGAACCAAAAAAAAAAATTTTTAACAGAAAACAAGGGGGCAGTCAGGACCTCTGATAGAAAATCAAAATAAGATATTTCCAAGTTTAAAAAAAAAAACAAATTCATTTTCCTAACTGACAATATGGGTTGCTCAAAACCAAAGATTTCTGCATCTAAATGAAGGAACCTAGGAAGAAAGTACATTAAGAAATTAATTGTAATGTAACTAAAAAGGAACAAATAATAGCAAAAACACGAGACACCAATTTGAGCCAATGTTTTTAACAGTTTATCTCTGCTTTAAATTAATATCTCATTTACTATAATCTATTTTTAATGGATAAATCTGGTAGAAGTGTTATTTGGAGTAAGCAAAATGTTGGAATTAAACCAACAGTTCTGGAGCTTTAGTATCAATGTCTGGCAAGCTGAACCCTGTATCTAAAAGAAGATTCACTCTTATTTATAAGCTATAAATTGATGGTGTGATGTGAGAAAACTAACTCGGCATTACTGACATGCCTGAAATTGATTACTGAAGCAAAACTGATAATATGGTTCTGAAAAACCATCTAAAGATTAAAATACTCTGTCTTACAGGTAATAGGCATACAAGAATTAGGAAAAAAAAAAGATATCAGGGAAAAATACAGATCTTGGCTTCATCAATTCATTCAACAAATGTTTAGTCAATTTCAAGTATGTTCCAAGTATCAAGAGTGAGGTCCAGGAACAGACAAATCATGCCTTATTAAAAAAATTAAGTGTAAGACAGAATGGGCACTTTTTATCAGCAATGGGTACTTTTTATCATCTAACAGGAAATGTGACACATTACTTACTAGTAAAGATTTGCTAGTTACTCTGAATTTTAATTATAATTATTGATTCTACAAAGTAGATTTCCTCTGTGTGTGTGTTAGGAATGTAAGAACACTGGGAAAAAACTAAGCAAATCCAACCCTATAAACAGTGATCCAAAACATTATTAGAAAATGTCTTCTTACATTTCCCTACAAGTCCTTCTGAAAAATTTTATAGTCCCAATTAAATACTTAAATATATTTAAAAATTTTAATGCTTCAGTTTCTAATATTAAAGACCAGAGCAGAGATAAAATGTTGTCATTAAAATTTACTTATCACCTATGAGTACCTACTTCCTAAGCAGTAGGTATACAAATAATGCCAAATTCCTTCTGCGCAGGGAAACATGCATATTTTAAAAATGCAAACAAAAATGAGATGACCTGAAAGCCAAGCAATTTGATCATTAAATAAATCTTTATAGCATAATTATCTTTAATTAATTTAGTTAAAACATCAGTAATTCCAAAAGGTAACATATAAAAACTTTAGCAGAGAAAGTTTAAAAGATTAATGAACTTTATCTGTTACTAAAGAAAATTAAAATTCTACTTGCCAGTTTCAGAATAGGGGGAAAAATGTGAGAGTCTAATTTTTAATATTCAAAACCAGTACAACAATAAACTAAAAGTTAAGCCCAAGGTTATACCCTTTTCCACTCTGACAATACTTCACTTCAACATTGTTCAGACAATCCTGGAAGTAAAAAGCTAGTTACATATTAAAGTGTGTGTGTGTGTGTGTGTGTGTGTGTGTGTACACAAGTGGGATACTCTAAAACACACAGCTCCAAATTAAGTGTTCAATTGTTGGCTTAGAAGGAAAAAAAGAATAAAAGTATTAGAAAGAACTCAGACTAAGCATAATGTGTATGCTATATTTTAACACTGAAACAAACAAAAAAGTAAGACTAGTATCCAGAAAACTGATAATTTATGTACTTAGAAAAGAAAAAATGTAGTCCTGATAAATGGCATTTCCACTATAGTTCTCATTGATCAGTCTGATAATCCATCAAGCAGACAGACAAAAACCACCCTATCATTATTCAGTTGGTTATAGATGTGAAATGTTTTCTGTTTCTTTATACCAGCACAAAACTGTAAATGACACGGGGTGGAGTGTAGACAATTTGTCAAATACCAGGGATTAAACTTAATTTCCTTTTAAAAATACACTAATAGCATGTTTTATATATACACTATTTTCACTGAAGAGTAACATGACAATAAATTTTTTTCCTACTTTACCACAACAAATATGAAATTGGTATTAGTGCAAACGACCAATAAAATAATATTTATATACTCCATATATAATTAGATAGATAGAGCAATCAATCTAACTTCTTACAAATTTTGGAAGTAAATCAAAACAGTATTTTAAATTTACTATCATAAATTAACAGAAATTTAAAATGAAATTTAAATTAATAACTGCCTAGAGATATGCAGTCTGTTTATAAACATTACAGTTTGGTGCATTAATAACTGGTTGGAGATATTAGAATTCTAGCTTATTATTCTCTTGGCATTAAGAACTTAAAGACATACCCAAATTTTGCAGCGATGTCATATACTTGTTTTTCATGTTGAAGAACCTTCTCACGGTCCCCCTCAAATAGTAATGTGGCTACACTTAGCTGATTTGGATCAAATCCTTTAAACTTAAAAAAAATATATATTTTATTACAGATGAGTTTAACCTTGCAAAACAATAAATCAAAATGCATTTGCTCTTTTCCTTCTGGTCTGAGTTCAAATACACCAAGTTTTTAAAAATTGAACTTCGGAACTTTAAATTTCAATCAATAAGAATGCTTAATGCACCTATGCAGGTCATTACAACATAAAACTATAGAGCATACAAAAAACATTTTATATGTATTCCATGGTTTTAATCATATAAAACCATGTATGCCATGGTTTAAATCAAATGTCATATTGATATATAAATATAACAAATTAACAGAATTATAATAAAGAATTAAATAAAAACTACAAAATAATAAAGTAGCTAGTTATAGGGGGGAACACAACAGTACCCTTACATACTAATAAGAACTTCTTATTAAAAAATACTTTCAAAAGAGATCTTAAACATAAAACTAAGAGAAATAATCTTATAAAGAAATATATAACTTCATTAGGAAAACATACCTAAAAAATATAAGTAAGATTTATGTTCCTGAATGCATAAACTAAACATTACAAACCTATATATTCCTCTATTCTGAGTTTAGTAAGAACCCCAGTGGACTGTTGAAAATGAAGAGTTTCTAAAATTTTTTCTAGAATAGAAAAGAGGTAGGTGACAGTAACCTCAAGGAAAATTCTGAATAACAAGAGGGAAAATCAGACCTATAACAATTAAACCCATTTAATTTCTCAAGAACAAAAAGCTCACTTAAAAATATGCATTCAGGGACTGAGGATGTGGCTCAAGTGGTAGCACGCTCACCTAGCAAGCGTGGGGTACTGGGTTCGATTCTCAGCACCACATAAAAATAAAATAAAGATATTGTGTCCATCTAAAACTAAAAAATAAATATTTTTTTAAAAAATGAATTCAAATGGAGTTTGTTTATTTGATAAATACTATAAGAAGATGTGTTGGTTATGGCAAATCAATAAAAGAAGAGGGATTAATTAGTTAATGGTGCTGACTCAACTGGTTACCAACTGGGGGATCAGAAGGTGAAGATTACTTTAGATTTTTACTTCACATCATAAAATTGAAATAAATTAAAGTGTAATAAGGAAAAATTTTAAATTCTCATTCAACACAAAAGAGAAAAGCAAATGGTCATAATCATAGGTCCAGATGAACGAAGCTTCTAAGCTTAGAAGGAATTAAATAATTACAGAAAAAGCTTAAAAAATTTGAAGTTTTAACACCAAAAAGAAAAATCTCTTTTTAAATGGGAAGTACTGGACTGAAAACATTTATTTACAAAATTTACAACAAAGGATCTCTAATAATTCCTCAAAGAGAACATAGCAGAGGAAAAAAAGGAATCAATCACCTTGGCAAAATAATCATATTCAACTAACTCAGAGAAAAATTACATCTAGAAAATATAAAGAAATGTTTTGTCTCACTGATTTTGAAGAACATCATCTAAAACAAAGGACTATTCCCCTCCCAATAAATTTAAAACATAAAAAAGCAACAAGAACAAAAACCCATATGCAATAATAAGGCCACAACAAAAAAATGACACACATTTTGCTGCCAGTACTATACACTGGTATATGTTTTAGGAAAGCAATCCAGCAAAGTTTAAATAAAAATTCATACTCTTAGAAAATGTGCATTAGACTGTTCAATGAATATTATTTTTAGAAACCTCAAAACTAGAAAAGGAAAATTTTTGAAAATGACTACATGACTGATTTAATATTATTCCAATATGAAAAACAATAATTATAAAATGTACACAGCAACTATTATAAGAACAAACATCCTTATAATAGGCGTCTGTGAGAGGAAGAAGGCAGGAAACCAAATTAAAATCCCAAGTATTTAAACATTTAGCATTTTATAAAAATTCTTACCTTTGTAATATAAAACTTTTTTAATCCATCCAAAAATGATGTAAAAATAGAGGAAACCTGAGGTTTAAGAGCATGACCTGAGAAAAAAGTTTCTATATTAAATTAATAGCAAATGATATTTTCAGAAGATTAAAAGACTAGTTAGTAGCCTAAAAGTGAAAGTTTTATGACTTTAACTTTTAAATCTATATTATGTATATTTATATTAAGAGCTTCATCTTTTCTTTTCCCTTCTTTCAAAAATCACAACTTTTTATTTACAAAACCCATTCTGTTTGTTAAATTCAAATTACCACATGTAATTAATACTACACATAGTTTAGGTCATCTTTCAATGATGTATTTTATACATACTAAAACTAGTTCATTAATTTTTATTTTATTAAGAACTCCCAATGGTGGCTGGTTTTACTTTTATTTTTCTAATTATACAGAAACCACTCAGAAGTATAACCAAATATGGAGTCAATGCAAAGTTTAAGGTTGTTTCTTAATTAATTCTTAACTCATCGCGAATTCTTGGCATAAAACTAGCAATTGCTTTCTTAATCACACCCAGAGAGTTAAAATTGCCAAAATAACATAAACGGTGTCTCAGAGTCTGTTAAATTAACATCTTTGCCTGCGGATTAAGCTTAATTGAGTGAAAACCTTTTACTGTTTCCCCATTGTTTTCAAAGAGTAGCAACTTCAACTTCCATGACTGCTACATTTAAGAGTCATGCATCTGGCTTTAATGTTATGAGCCCAATTCAGAAAAATATGGCAACCATTTATATAAAAATTTTATAAAGAATTTTAAAGTCTTTACTAAATCTAAAATCATATCCAAAAAAAGATTAATTTTTTTAAAGCCTTTCAAGTTTGAAGGATTTTGTTTGTTTTTAAAGAGCAGGACTTCCCTCTAAAATAAGTACAAAAGCAAACATTTCTAAAACAACTATCACTGATAGTCTATTTTTCTGACCCACCTATTTTTTTAATTGAAATTATGAATCTGTGATACTACAGTTTTGCTGTCTCTAATAGGAAACTGTTAAAAGGACACGTAACATAAGTCTTAACCAGGAGCTAATAGAAATTCATGCTCTGAGGCATTAAAACAACCCCCCGCTGCCCCTGACACTCCAAAAGAACTGCAGATTAGATGGAGATCCACCTGGCAATCCTTTTGAGCTACTGGATCAAAAGTAGTTATTTTTTTCTTTTTTTATTGTGAACTATCAGAGATACTTTTCCAGAATAACCAGTGCTTTTTGATATAATTTTTAGCATGATTTAAGTTAGAAATAACGTATCAACAAAACACTTCCTGCACCAAATGGAAGTCATCCTATCTAAATAACAATTAGAAATAAACTTGTAAACATATGTTGAGTATGTGTTGTGTTTTTGCAAAATGGAAATTGCTATTCATATAAAAGTTTTCTCATTCATTTATCTTTACACAATGCATAAGGGATCCAAATGTTAGTGCTCCAATATGAAATAATCCTTATGGGTAAATAATCCACTGACATTTATTAGTATAATTTCCATTACATCAGTAGCAATTTGTCACACACATCTCCAATATTAAGTTGACATGATAGTTTTAAAGAATAAATTATTGCAAAAGAGACACTGACTTTTGAGTCAAGCATTAGTATTACTTGGAGGATATTGTTATCTTTTACTTTTTCTTAAATTAATGCTACCTATGAGATTAATTATACTCTAAACATATTTCAGCTAGTGTTTTATCTTTTATAGTAATTTGGTTTCCAAATAGCTTGACGGTGCATTTTTTGTTCCTACAATTTGAATTAATTAAAAAGGATATATTAACTATGTATGTTTCAAAGAAGTGGTTTGAAACAGTGTAAAAAGTATTGGGCTTTGGATTCAAACTAAATTAGTTCAATCTCAGCTCTACCAAACAGGACTTGAAGACTTTGGTTAAAATACTGAGCCTTGAATTGTTTTTAAAATGGGAATACCACCTTGAAGAACAGTTGTGAGGAGGGATTTCATAAATTATACTAAGTTAATGTGCTTAGCAATGTGCTACGAGCTATTTAGGATATGCTTACCTTCTTTACCAATGCAATGATTAATGTTCAAATAACAACTAAATGCCTGTTATGGCTAGGAATGATAGTGCACACCTGGAATCCTAGCTACTTGAGAGACTGAGGCAGGAGGGTTGCAAGTTTGAGGCCAGTCTAGGCAAATAATTAAGATCCTGTCTCAAAAATAAAAATAAAAAATAAAGGAATATGGATGTAGCTCAGTGGTAGAGCACTTGCCCTGCATGTGCAAGAAAGACCCTGGGTTGATCCATAGAACCACAAAAACACAAAATTTAAAAATGCCTACAATGTGATAAATGCAAGAAATTTTAAAAATTACTAAAATACATCCTCTAAAATTTGAGAAACCTTGATCTACAGAGGAAATCCATAGATCATTTTAATATACTGAAAACAGATAATCTAAATATAATGTAATAGGGGTTTTACTACAAGAAGAGTTGGTATTAAAAATATTCACCATTTGTGAATAAGGCTTATGCTTTATTAATCAGTATGACACAAACACTAAAAATAAGCAGGCTATTGTAGGGTCTGAATTGCTGTGCTAAGCATTACTCTTTTAGTTGTTTATCACAAGGTCATGACAATATATATAGAAGGAAAGACTTCAAAACAAACTGAAGAATCAAAAAGACTACAGCCAACCAAGAAGCATAACCAGATCTGTAATTCAAAATAAATACTATGGTGGCTAAATAAAAAGCAGAAGGGAGACATGATCAGTACTATAAAGAATTAAGTCCTACCATAGAACTAGAAGGGACTATGTGAGCATGTTTCTCGGTATATAATGAGAATGTGGAACACAGATGGCAGACAGCCAGAAAGACCTTTTCCTTAAACTCTCATTTTACTATTCCCTGAGGACCTTAAAAGAGCGCACTATAGGGATAAGGCCACATCAATGATTATAGCGGCACAATTCACAATAGCCAGACTGTGGAACCAACCTAGATGCCCTTCAATAGATGAATGGATAAAAAATGTGGCATCTAAACACAATGGAGTATTATGCAGCACTAAGAAATGACAAAATCATAGAATTTGCAGGGAAATGGATGGCATTAGAGCAGATTATGCTAAGTGAAGCTAGCCAAGCCCTAAAAAACAAATGCCAAATGTCTTCTTTGATATAAAGAGAGCAACTAAGAACAGAACAGGAAGGAAGAGCATGAGGAAAAGACTAACAGTAAACAAAGACGAAAGGGAGAGAGAAGGGAAAGCATATGGAAATGGTAGGAGACCTTCAATGATACACAAAATTATAAGAGGTTATGAGAGGCAAGGGGGAGGGAAAAAAAGGGAGAGAACTGAACAACAGCAAAGGAGGTAGGGAGGGAAGATGGGAGGGGAGGGGAGGGGAGAGGGGATAATAGGGGATAGGAAAGGTAGCAGAAGACAACAGTCACTAATATGCCATTATGTAAAAATGTGAGTATGTAACAGATGTGATTCTGCAATCTGTATTTGGGGTAAAAATGGGAGTTCAAAACCCAATTGAGTCAAATGTATGAAAGATGATATATCATGAGCTCTGTAATGTTTTGAACAATCAATAAAAAAAAAGAAAAAAAGAAAAGCAATGGGTCATCAATTATTCAAATAATGATTGAAACAGTTTTAATTTTTAAGTGATAATTGTAAATATCTGGGGGTATAATTTGAGCTTTGAATTCAAGTATATATTATACACAAAGAGCATGCCCAGCATCTTAAATATTTCTTGTATTTTTTCCCAGTGAGAAGAACTCTGTCATTTTCATCAACAAAGTTGATAATTACATTAACTGAAATAGGTCAGGCACAGAAGGACAAATGCTGCAAAATATCACTCTTTCATGGAGACTGAAAAATTGATGGCATAGAAAGTGAGAGTAGAATATTAGTTAGTACAGTAGGGAAGACAATGTTACAATTGAATATTAGAAAAAAAAGTTCTGATGTATTTTTGCAGTTTGTGAGCAGAGTTAAATATTACAAAATCTGGGTCTGGGGTTTAGTTCATTTGGAGAGTGCTTGCCTAGCATGTGTGAGGCACAGAGTGTGATTGTCAGCACCACATTTAAATAAATAAATAAATTAATTTAAAAAAAAAAACCTCTCATTTTAAATTGCTACAAAACCCAATTATAAAAAAAAAAAACATGGTCAGAATTATAGTTTCAAAAGATGCCTATGTCTAACATAATGTACTACAACATCATCACATAAATAGTTAATAATTTTATTAATTATATACATCGCTCTATAGATCTCCAAAAGCAAGCCAAACATACTAGAGCCTTGATTTTCATTTGACTTAAATATCTCATTATTTATAGGACACAATTATCAACTTTTGTTTCTTAATACTATAGTATGTTGAAAGTAATTTATTAAAGAAGTAATTGTGAATAAAAAGAATCTAATTTAAAAAATGAATTCTTGATATAAACCTGACTTTCCTAGTTAAGTTTCTACATAACTATAATATTTTTCCCTATATTAAAACCTAAGCAACTTTCAGACATGACAAACAAAAGCCTGCCTTTCAGGGCTGGGGAATAATTCAGTGGTTCAGTTCTTTCCTAGCATGTGCAAAGCCCTGGGTTCAATCCCTAAACTACAAAAAAAGTAAAATAAAACAAAACAACAGCAACAACAACAATAAAATCTGCCTACCTTAGCCTTTGGTATTTATTACTGAACAATAATTTCCATAATTTTAGGAACTGATTTTTTTTTTTTTTTTTTGTACCAGGGATTGAACTCAGGGGCACTCAACCACTGAGCCACATTCCCAGCCCTTTTTCATATTTTATTTAGAGACAGGGTCTCACTGAGTTGCTTAGGGCCTTGCTAAATTGCTGAGGCTGGCTTTGAACTTACAATCCTCTTGCCTCTGTCTTCTGAGCTGCTGGGATTACAGCACCACCATGCCCGGCTCAGGAACTCTTTTGATGGTATTTAAATTCTACAAACTCAAATCCCAAAGTAAATTTCAGCACGTGAAAAAAAATATGGAAGCAATAAAACTAGAATTGAAAACATGATTAATAAATTGTATCAAAAGTTCAATAATTTAGATATATAGGTAGAAAGGAAAAATGTTTTTGGATCCAAATACCTACTGAATTCTTCACCCCAAGAGCCCAATGGCACCTTAGATACAATCCATTGTAATATATTTTTCCCCAAAATCGACCATTTTTACTTCAACTCTTCCCTTTATTTAGCCTTCCACATCTAATTAGCTACCTGATTTTTAAAAATCTATCCTCTACTCTATTTCCATTATTTCTACCTTACTCATGGGTCCCAAAATTTGCCTCTTGAGCTGTTTCATATCTGTACCCTTCTAATCCACCCTGAGCAAAACTGCCAGAATGAGCTTTTGAAATGTAAAGATGATTTTATTCCCTCCACAAAGAAATCCCACAGCTTACAAGATAAAATACAAATCTATTCTGCAAAGCCCTAAATGACCCATGTAGCTTTATTTCATATGACAAGCCTTGTCCTACCCTCTATTTGAGGTAAACAAAATGATTCCCAGTATCCTAAAACATGTCACTGAGGTTTCATAACTTTGGGGGGCGGGGGCAGGGAGGCAGCCCTGGGTATTGAACCCAAGGCTTTGTGCATACTAAGAAAGTACTCTAACCCTGAACTATATACGCAGCTTCTTTTTTAAATGATTGTTGTATTTTGAGATGGGTCTCAATAAGTTGCTCAGAATGCCCTCAAACTTTTGATACTCCTGCCTAAGTCTCTTGAAAAAAATTCGTATTTCTGTTTACAAGTGAATGAGTGTGGTAAGGAAGAAATAATCTCGAGCAAACTTCTATTTATCTTTTAAGACTTTGCTCAAGTATCACCCTCCTTTAAAAGTCTTTTCTGACTTTCAACTCCTAGGTTGAACAAAATCAAATAGAATCAACTGTTCCTTCACTTAAAAATCTATACAGGATCCAATGCAGTCTTCTTTCATAGTCTCTCCAACACTACTGAACTCATTCATTTATGTAACTGTCTGAGAGAGCTTCCTGAATGGCAGGAACTATGATATTTATCTTTCTAGTGCTGAAAATTTTTAGAATAAATGAGCATATGTTAAAATTATCACTCCTTACTTACCAAACTGAAACTGCTGGTTGTCCATGAGGCGAATAGATGCAGGAGCACATCTCTGTTTAAAAAGAGAAGAATGTGATATAAGTTTAATACAATAAAAAGCTAGATGAGTAGAATATGAATATTTTTCTATATTTAAGAGATTAAGAGCTTACTTCCTAAAAATATACAGAAGAATTTTTTATACAATTCTATGAAGATAAATAAAACATCAGTGGCTTTAATAGATTAATACATACTACTATATCTTTAATTTCTGCAATAAGATGTGCTTATGTCTAGCAAAGACCTATGGAAATGCCATAAAAGAAAACTGGGCTTCAAGGTGAACTGATTTCAAGATGGATTATTTTAGAACAAAGTAGAAATTTTTAAGACTAAATACAGTTAATTCAATAATTATGTGTTTATGAACTAGTTATGTTAGGTTCTTGTAACACTTTTAAAATGAGGAACATGGAGGTGAAATTTTTCAGGAGACAAAGCACTAAAATGTTGTCTGTGTCACAATTCTACGAACTGAAATTCTTTCTTTTTATATCTTCTCATAACCCATTTTAAATAGAACAACCATCCATTTTCTTGATTTGCAAGTCCTGTCAAGGTTACTTGTATGAAAACAGTGATGAAATTCTGAAGGATAAGATAATGTATTCGAAGAATAAAAACTGCACTAGTGTTGTAGTTATTTAGGCACATACTACAAGTAGCAAGTAAAGAAAACCAAGGAAAGCAGATACAGGCTAAGTAAGCATTCCTAACCCAAAAATCTGAACTCCAAATTACTCCAAAATTACTAACTTTCTGAGTTCCAACTTCCCAGACTTGGGGGCATTTGGATTTCTGGATTAGAATATTCAACTGGTAATGTCTATGCAAATATTCCAAAGTCTGAAAATCTCTAAAATCTTAAACATCTCTGATCCCAAGCATTTTGGATGAGGGATATCACCAACCTATATTTATATTTATTTGGTAATGATAAAACATCACAATACTAACACTAGCAAGGTTCACATTAGGTGTAATTTCTCCATATTCATGTGAGCTGAACCTTAAATGGAATTTTTTATTTTCTATACAAATTTTCTACATGGCTAATGTTTTAGGGGCTGCAGTTGTAACTCAGTGATACAGCGCTTGCCTAGTATGTATGGGTGAGGCACTGGATTCCATCCTCAACACCACATTAAAAACAATAAAGGAATTATGTCTATCTACAACTAAAAGGGGGGATGTTTTTATACCATAAGTCTGACAAATGCTATATATTTTTAAGCATTTATCTTCTGAGTAGTATTTATCAAAACAATTTCTAGCAACATAAATTTCTGAAACTCAGAAGAAACAATACACAATAGTAACATACAATACACATTTTATTTTACCCAATAAAATGACTAAATGTTTCTTATTTTGAGAGATTCAATTTATTTACTCAGTTTTCATACTAAAAATGAGGTAAGTAAAGTTATTTTTTAAAGTTACTACCAAGTCTAAAGAAACAGTATTAGATAATTTTATATACACATCATAACAATAACCCACCACCTTATATTATTAAGAATCACAGTTTCCAAGCTACTGTCATGTCTTTATTTCATATAAGAAACAACACTATCAAGATAGCAGAACTGATATTACCCCCATTTTACAGAAAATAACACCAGAATCAGTGAGGGTAAAATATTTGCCCAAGGTCAGATGACTGTTAAATAATAAAGACAGAAGTAAGACCAAGATACCTTGGGTCCTAGATGAACGTTATTTCAAGTATATCACACATCCTCTAAAAAAATCACTTAAAACACATTCACACAAAGCTTCAGATTCATATTTTAAACAATAGCTACATTAAAATTATCTTATTTGCTATTTTCTGAATTTATTAAGAGTATAATAATTTTTAAAATACATTTACAACCTGAGTAATTTCAAATCTTGGTTTAAAAATCTTTGTAGTTTGGCTTATGCTTCTAAAAATGATACCAGTTTCCAAAATACTAAAAGAAAATCCATTTTCTTCATATGTACAAATCTAAAATGTTTTTAATAAAATGAGTACATTGACTTCTAATAAAACATATGAAGCATGAGTAGACCAAATTTCTGTTCTCCATAAAATAAACAGAATATCCATATAACATATATATTTATATGATGTCTTATATATCTAATAAAATATAAAAGAATTCAGAGCCATTTTTCATTTTTAGAATAAAAACATTTTAAACTCCTATCAACAACTTGTAAATACCATATCTTACTTGCAACCAGATTCTACTTCACCTGTATCAATATCAGGTGTTCTTAATGAAAACAACCAACATAAACACATCTGTATCAGAAAACGGGAAGAAAAGATATTACATTAAATAAATTTCTATTGGTACTAAATCTGTAAAGCAATTGAAGTACAATATGCAGATTCTGATTAAATATTAGTTTGCAAATACTCTCTATAAAATATATTTGAGGGACAAGTGGAATAATTTAAATAAAGAATTGTAATTAGCTGGCATTAGAAAATTACTGCATAGTTTCTTAGATATGATAATGGTACTATTCTATTTCAGGAGATAGATGCTGAAGTGTTTAGAGGTCAAGGGTCATGATGTCTGTCACTTAATTTCCAATGGCCTAGACAACATATATATATATATACACAAAGAAAAATACTGTAAAAAACTAATAATTGCTGGATATACAAGGTGGATATACAGGTGATTGCTGTGCTATTCTTTTAAATGTTTTATATGTTTTAAGTTTCCAAATTAAAGAACTGGAAAGAGAGCTAATAAAGTTTCAGGGCACTTGCTATACACACAGCTACCAATATTCAGTTAAACTGACTGTGATTTTAACTATGATGTTTGACAAGTGAGTCACATAAACTAGTTAGTACACTATTCCCATTTACATTGAGGAAGTACAGTATATGAGAACAGACTATTATAAAAGAATAAGCAAGCAGCTAAAAAATGTATTCTAAATAACATTTACTTTTCTGAAATTATCAAATGCAAAGCAAGAGCTTTAAAGTTTCATATTGTAATCGTGCCAGGGTTTTCAAAGGTTGCTAAGTAGAGTTTTCAGTTACTGTCATATTCTGATAAGTAAAACACTCAGAAATTTAAAAAAATAATCTAAATTAGTTTGTGATTCTCTGGCAACTAATAATTTGTAAATCATTGTGTTATTCTACATATACAAAAAGCTTATTTACAATTTGAAATAATTAAAGTCATTGCAACTAATTAAATAGAAGTTTCTATAATCAAAAGATTAAAATAATGTTACTATTCTTAAAAAACAACATTATTCAATCTGATATACTCTATGTTTAAGATTCGATTATGTCACCATTGCTTTAAAACTAACTAGGGAGGTTAAAAGCACTCAAAAGATTGCCTTTAGAAGTAGAGACAGCACAAATGCTAATAACTGAAAATCTAAATTCATTACTACACTATTGTAATATGCTGGACTAAGAATACTATATTCCACAGATAAGGAAAGGGGGATAAAAGGCCCTTCAGTAAAAGTGACCTCTGCTGGTAGGTGATCAGAGCTAACCTGAGAGGAAATCTTTTAACTAATTTTAATAAGTTAATTAAAAAAAAATTAAAAGAATTTAACAATTCTCCAAAAAAAATTGCTCACTCAAATGGGAGTTAATGGAATAAATTATATGCACTTACTAGGATCTCTCATGTATCCTGACTGGTACCTGAGTATACTTCATAGTTAGTAAACAGTCAAAAAAAACTATCAAAAAAAAAAACCTAACTAATGAAAGTATATCTGTATCTTTATTTCACTTGGACATTTTAGAAATAAATAATCACTCTGACCTTAAAATATAGATATAAGATGAACTAAGTGAAAGTGCTGGCAATTTCTTCCCAGGATGCTACAACCAGGAATTTACTTGAATATATAACCTAATAAATAAAAAATAATCATTCTGTTGAATCTTATTTTACTAAGTATTGGTAGTATTTTCTGCACTAACTCAAGAACCAACAGATTTCTTATCCAACAATTTTATTTTTTTAAAAAAGTCCCTATATAAAACACACCAAAAGCTGTCTGTAAAATTTATTTTTCTGGCACTAAGTCATGCTTTCATTTGTCATAGAGAAAATCATAATTTGCATTTCAGATGATATACATATATCATTTGGGAAGATGTCTCTTAATTATCTAGCTATTGGCAAAAGAAATTCAATGCTAACATACATTTCAAATGTCTGCAGCATATCTACTACTCTAACTTTTTACGGATAAACTATAAAAAGATTAGCACTGAATGGTCCAGTATCTGGAACCACAGCTAAGGAATGAGTCATCGTTGAACTAATAAGGTTTATTTATTCAAAACATAAATCAAACTTTCTGTCTAGAACACCCCAAATTCTTCAGTCTAAACACTATATCAGAGATAGTCAATTTATCTCATATTGCATCAGAAGCAAATACTTCAATACTAAACCCCATGTGCAATGCCATACAAAAATTTAAAAGGAGAATTTATCATGATATGCAATATTCTTAGTGATTACCAGGAGAGGAATCCCATCCACTTAACTTGCATACTATCCACTGCACTATGTGTGCGTTGCACTAAGAACAGAGCACTTCAAAAGGCAATGATAAAATTAATAAAAATAAAAGTTTAAAAAAAAGGCTGAAAGAAATCTATTGAGTAAAAATATCTAGAAATAAAAACTTTAAATGTAGACAGATTCTTCCTCTAACTTTTAAGTCAGAGTTGATATTATAGATGAAATCATATAATATTTACGACTATTACAATTACTGGCTGGTCATATTGGAAATGACATACTAGCTTACAGCTAAGAGTCTTATTGTAAACAAGAAGATCTTTATATTTTAAAGACAATTATCTCTTAGTTTTTAAAAATGAAATAATATACATTATTGTGTGAATATTTCCTTCCACTTATATTAAGGGAAAGGCCAAAAGTTAGGGTCAGTTTCCTAATTATAATTTTTATTTTTTCACTTTAATAAAAGTAAAATAACTTGCTCTGAGTGGCTTCTGATAGAGAGTCTGTCTTATAGTTGTCCTCATTTTGCCGGATTACACAATAAAAAATTCAATTACCAAGCATTAATTAGGGTTATTCTTTCTACACACAAATGATTTTAAATGACAATTCCATCTTCTATATGTAATAAATATTCCCAAGAATTACTTCTGAATATAAAGAAGTTTAAAATATTTTACAAAGTTATGTGGTAAGCCTAACTCCTTTCAATTTATTTGAACCCCTGCAGGATAAATTTTTACAGAAAATTCAAGATCTATTCTTTCCTAAATTATGATCTAAGGTCACCAGGAAAAAATACCAATCAGTTTAAAATTGTTTAAAATAAAAATGCTGGAAAGTAGAAAAGGCTACTCTTTGTCAAAAAGTAATGAGACGAAAGGCTATCATTTACCCTGTAATTCTAAAAATCTAGTTCTGATACTGAGAAACACAATTTTCAAGGGAATGAGTAGAATCCATCACAAACATAGTCAGATTTTCCTCTTACTGAAACAGATGCTCTTTTCTCAATATCATAAGGTATAAATCCTAAATATTTTTTAAACAAATACCATACACACACACACACACACACACACACACACACACACACAAACTGTGCTTTTAAGCTTGTTTCAACATTCAGTTTTCCTTCAAACCATGTATAGACATGTCCACTATCATTTCCAGAAAAACAAGAAAGGAGAATAATAAAATGTTACATCTGACAATGACACTGATTTAAAAAAAAAAATCATGTTTCCCCTTCTTTAGAGGCTACTATAACAAATCTATTTTCTAAGAAAGTCTTAAAATTCACTTACCCATTTACTGAGTAAAGTTGGAGATTATACTGAACTGCCACTTATGAGAAAGAATCACATTAATCTTCCACTAAATCTTCCTTTCTAGCTCCTCATAAGACAGTGAAGTATTGAAAGAGGGCAATTCCTCACATGGGCAAATGAGAGAAACCTTAGTAGAATCCTTCTGCTGCCAGTGTATGGTAGCTTATTTATTTCCCTCAGTAAGAATAGTAATAAAAAGTATACACAGAGTCCACTTTGTTATTTGTGAACAATCATGTGTACTCATTTCCAAAAGATACTCATCCAAAATACAGTTTCCCATTCCAAAAGCAACTTGAGTCTGAAAATACTGCAAAAATTGAAGTGCTTTGAAATGACAGTGAGGAATTACAAGCAAACAACTCATTATTCAATCAAGAATTTGGCACAATTATAAACCATGTAGCATCTATTTTAATGGATCTTAATTTGCCTGCTATCAGCAGAAATTCCAAATCCCAAATTGAACAATGACTAGTGCCAATATCTGATAATTTTCTCACTTTTTCTGCCTGAGAATACTGTTACAAAGGAAAGCAGCAAATAGTATCTTGCTCTTGACATATGAGATTTGCACACTCTGTAAATTGATATGCAAATATCCCTAAACCTTTATACAATCCTTTATCCATTTCCAGGTAAACATTTAATGCTTTTCTACTACATATCATAAGAGAAGTAATATACTTAATTTCCCAAAATAATGTAATATCTCCAAATTGAAGTAATGGTTCTTAGCATCTTTATAATGCATAAGCGCAATATTCGAGAATAAAATATTGTCTCTCCAGACTTTTGAATCAGTTCTAAGACCACAGCATTTGTCTCTAGAGATTATCTACTACTAACTACACGAAACCAAACTGTCAAAACTATCAGAAAAGTGCTTTCTTTTTGACTTGCTTTTTAATCACAGGGTGGTACTTTCTATTAATCATTACCTTTATTTTTTATTTAATTTTTTTAGTTTTATTGATTTTATTTTTTTTAAATACATGACAGTGGAATGCATTACAATTCTTATTACACATATGCAGTAAAATTTTTCATATCTTTGTATATAGAGTATGTTCACGCCAATTCATGCCTTTATATATGTACTTTGATTTTTGCATTACAATTCCTATTACACATATATACCACAATTTTTCATATCTCTGTTTATATATAAATTATGTTGACACCCAATTCAAGTCTTTATACATGTACTCTGGATAATGATGTCCATCACATTCCACTGCCCTTGCTAATCCCTTGCCCCCTCCTTTTCCTCCCACCCCTCTTCCCTATCTAGAATTAGATAAATTCAATCATTACTTATTTAATCCAAGATATACATGCAGCATAATTTTGTATAGTGAATTCTAAGAATTTTTGAGTATCCTAAGAACTTTTTTAAATATATAAAAATACAAATTTTACACATTTACACAAGAAAAAGAAAAAAAATCTATCACCCACTATTCAACGGCACAGGTAACTCCTCTTTTATCACTTTCTATCAGGAGCGTCACAAATTGTAACAAACACAGCACCAGACTGCACCGACCATGTATGTTTAAATTTAACATTTCCATTCTAATGAAATCATAAACTTAAGATTCTGATTCACCTGTACATCACTTCTTGTGATGAAATGTAACATAGATTTACATATATTTATAATGTGCAAAAGTTGATGGAACACTCAGGAAAGCATAAAATGTGTATACATCTACTCCAAAGATCACATAGTATTTTTTAATGAGTCAACTGAATCTGTGTTCTTATAGTGCATATATCATGAAGGGACAGTGTTGAGTAAACATGATCTCACTGAGGTCTTTTGTTTAAAAACAAAACAAAACAAAAACAAATAAGGGCTGGGGATATAGCTCAGATGGTACAGTACATGCCTCTCATGCATAAGGCCCTGGGTTCAGTCCCCAGCACCACAAAAAAAAAAAAAAAAAAAAAGAAAGAAAGAAAGAAAAAAAACTCAAACTACTTTTATAACTATAATTTTTAAAATTCTAATTTGGCATTCATATTTATTTTGCCATAAAATGGAGGAAATAATAATAATTAGAAATATGTTGTTCAAACCTTGAACAAGAGATAATATAAACTGTATCTTTAATGAGCTTTTTGGTGGGAAATTGTCAAGCTAGATAAAACATGCAGGGGAAATAAAAGAATTTAACACATAAGGTAGATTATAATTCAAAGTGAAAATATCTGAATAAAAAAATCACTCATTAAGATCTGAAATTAACAAGAATACAGAATTTATTCTGAAAATTCTTTGATTTTGTTTTTAATTGATGAACTTCCCATTCTTCTAAGGTATCAACTCATAAGCAAAACTGTAAAGCTCTGTACACAGTTTCTTTGCTTCTTAATACTTCAGGTAGCTTTATATGTATATAAAGTTACCATGTTTTCCTTGGTCTTCAAAAGTGATGGAAATGTTTTACACACATGCATCAGAACAACTTGAACTTCATTTCTTATACATTATTTTAGCACAAGAAATACTATTTACTCCTAAAACTTATTTCCATGCCTCCTTAATATTCCTGCTTTAAATATTACTGCCAATAATCATTTTGGTAAATGTGATGTCATATTATATACTCTAGCTGCCTAATGACAATATAGTATCATCAAGGTTGTAGTGAATTAGGGCTTTTAGGTAAAAATTTCAACTGTCAATATTTATTTCTGCATTAACACCGAAGTAACCTGTCACAGTCCAAAAATGTTCACCATTATTTCTTTTTAAAATCTTCTCTCCACCCCAAGAGCAGATAGACAATAATCAAGATTAAGGGGCCTATGCTAAGTCTAGCAATCTAACTGTGATAAATAAGCTTCTTGAAAACAGATGAAATTCTTGAAATGCAAAATTAACAGAATGGTGTCTCAGAAAGCAAAACTGAGCATATGCGATCAAGAGTACTAGAAATGGTATACACACACGTGTGTGTGTGTGTTGATAATTTCCTTTAAACACCAATAGTGGTTGTCTTGGGATGGTGGGAAGATGAAACTATTTGCCATTTTCCCTTTCAGTATCTTACAAAGTCCAAGATGAAGACAGACTACTTGTTAGTTATTTTCATTTGTTTATCAGACTCCCTCCACCTGGAACTGAGAAACTGGGTCACACTGAAAAACTCCCTTGCTCACAAGATTCTATTTAAATATGGATGACAGTAAGTATTAAAGAGCTCTAGGAGTTTAAAGAAAAAGGCTAAGTACATACCCTTAACTTCCTTCCTGCTGAGAAATGTTGAGAAAGAATTACAAACTATTCCGGTTCAAACAATGAACAAATGCCTAGAAAAATGCAGGAATTTCCATACTAATACATAGAATACAGAAATATGATTTCTAGGCATTATCTAGTCTTTTGAAAAACACTTAACAATATATCTCTTTTTAAGGGAGAAGAAAATGGGAATTCTTTTTAGCTTATAGTTAAACATATTGTTTTATACTATATTATTTTATATTACTTAAACAATAGCTTAAGTAATATTATAAAACAAAGTAAAGCCTAGCAGCATATTCTATTTACTGATGGAAGTCTAATTGTCTACATTTCATTTCTAAATTTCAGGGTCACTGATATTCAGACATTACTCTAATTTCAATAAATGTCTTAATTTAAGATAAATTAAAAATCACTTTAATCACAAAATATCTTACCCAACGATAACTTAAGAAATAGAATATCCAATAAAAGGCAGAGTCATTCAAAGCCACAATCCAAGTACATATCTTACCTTGGCTTAAAATCACACATCCCTTTTTAAACCACAAAATAGGTGTGATAGCAATATAATTACTGAAAGTAATAAACTGCACTTAAAGGGGTGATTTTATAGCACTATCCTTTCATAGAGAACTGGGTAAAAATCACAAATATAATACAACTGAATATGAAGATTACTTATAACATTTCCACAATTACGCAGCAGAATTTTAAAAGTATAAATATATTTTCTTATTATTTTTGTTTTTGTTTTTGTTTTTGTTTTTACCTGTTTTGCAATTTCTCTTAAACAGGCTACTCCTTGTTCAAAATTAGGGAAAGCTACCGAGCCATACTTTTGGTATTCAGGGATTGGTCTGATTTTTATTGTAGCTTCTGTTATTACACCAAGAGTTCCTGAAAAAGAAGGGGGAATAATCCAATATATCACATGACAATTTTCTAAATCATATTTAAATCTATTTAATCTATTTATTCTTTTAATTTATTCTATTATCCATATTTAAATCTATTTAATTTATTCTCTTTGGGGAACAAAGGCTAACCAAGTCTTTTTAGATAAACAATTAAGCAAATTTTATAATTTCAAGAAAAGTTTTTAGAATAGACTTTTTTATTTACATACAAATATTTTAAAGTAACCTCTAAGAGGGTTACTTTTAAGTGGATTTTAAAAATATTACAACTTACTAAAAGAAAAAATTTTGGAAAAAATACAGGTTTTTATATTTCATCTGTTTTAACACAAAAGTATATTTGATATGTGTGCCTGTTTTTACTATGAAAATAATTTATTGGGGCAAAAGAACCTAACTTTCTTGAAAACTAAAGATGACAGAAGAAATTTAAGGAAATATTACCTAGCCATTTTTCCTAAGAACTGATTCAAAGGAAAGATAGAGGCATTACTGTGATGCCCTTATAAGAAATCAAAAGACATATTCAGAGACAAAAGTTTATAGATATCTAGCATAGGAGGACCACTAATGAAACAAATGTTTTTCTTTATTACAGGAGACACAAGGGATTAATCAGAGATGAAAACAATGTTAAATATAACCCTGACCTAAATATCTATAACAAAATATTTGAAGAAACATGGTTAAAAAGGAATATATTTACAAAGCCAACCTTTCCAAGTCAGTGGTTTCTAATGTTCAATGGTAGAAATAAATTATACTACTAGTAAAATTTCTGAGAATCATTTTAAAAGACTGTTTTAAAAGTGTAAAGTGGGAAATCATTAAAATTACAGAACTTAATTACAACATCAGAATAAAAGTTATCACAAAATCAAAACTACCAATAAATTTTATGATTTGCCTACAACAACTTGTCAATATATAATACAAGATGAAAAACCAGTATGAGTTCATCAAAAGTAAATTATATTGTATAGATCACAATATATTCACCACAAATACACTTGATTTTTAAACTGAAATTATAAAATATGACCCTCTTATAATCTATATGATCACAAAAGCTCTACAAGTTGGCCTGATTGATACTTGAATGTAAAACAGATGTCTTATAAAATTCAAAATAAAACCTAAATAAAAAACTTTCTTTTTGTTTTAGCATCTTTATTAAGATATAATGTAGACAATGAAATTCACCTGTTTAAAGTGCAAACTTCAATGGTTTGTAGTATATTCACAGATATGTATAACTATCACTATAATCTAAGTTTAGACTACTTTCATCATCCCCCAAAATAAACCTGTACTTATTAAACAGTCACACCCCATTTCTGCACCCACACCCTAGCCCTAGTCAATCATGAATCTATTTTGTCTAAAATTTGCATATTCTAGACATTTCATATAAAAGGAATCTCACAGTATGTAGTCTTGTGATAGCTTTCCTTCACTTAACTATGTTTTTAAGGTTCATATATTAGTATTTCATTCCTTTTTATTGCCAAACGTGCCACTATATGGTATAACTCATTTTGTTCAGCTATCAGTGATAGACATATGGGATCCTCCTTTTTGGCTACAATGAATAATGCTGCTATGAATATACATATACATACACAAAGAAAAGACAGAGAGGCATTACTGTGATGCCTCAAATACCTAAAAACAATTTCAAAGAAAATCTCTGATCCTATTTCATATATTACCTGATTGCCAGCTACCTTTTCCCGAAATTAAGTTCCAGAAGTATGCAGCCATGCAGCCAACAGGTAAAACTCACTTCTCTGAATTTCAGAACCGCTGGTACAGTTGTTCGCCCTTGAATAGGTCACACTAATAATTGGGTCCCAATCATCCTTGCTCTGCCTTATAACAGGGCTGATGTCTTGCCAGGAATAGCAAACCTAGATGGCCTACTTTCCCTTATCCACTTGCCCTCAGCACTCAGCTTCTAAAGCAGGGTGTCACTCAGACAGAAGCATGCCACTGTCTCTACCCCCATCCCCAGAGCCCTAGTTCAAAGATTTTTACATGGGTCAGGGAATAGTGTAGGGGGCATGAGACAGATAACTCCTAACTAACCTTTTACCAAAGGAAAATTACTTGCAACACCACATGGGGAAGATTAAGCCTATGAATAGTCTCAAAAAGAACGAAGGATGAACTGAAGTGAAGCATCTGCCTATCGATAGAATGGATACACAGATTCACTGGAAACAGACTAAACTGTAAGCTGTCTAGTTTGCCCTGGGAAAGAGATATTGTGGAGGACCCTTTCTAGACTCAAACAAAAAACAAACTCAAACTATCCCTTCTAAGGAGATTGAATTTACCTAGATTAGTCTGTAGATCATTTTATGCCCCAGAACATTTTTGAAAACACCAGCATAATCAGCTTGCAATCAATGGTCATTAACAGCTAAATGTGGTTCAGCAAAAAGGATATCGAAGAAATCCCTTTCATACTGCCATCCCCAGGAACTGTAGCCATACCTAAAGTGCATCACCAGAGGAACAATATCAGAAAGTTAACAGTGCAAAAAAGAAAAGTATGAGGAAAAGGACCTCACTAAAATCATACAGTCAGTCCCTCAGCAAATAAAAACAAATTCTGGGGTGGGAGGACAATATACAGAGTTGTTTCAACATATTACATAAAACATTCACTTTATAAAAACAAAAAAAAATTTGATGCTTACAACAAAAGAAGAAAGTATAAGCCATATACTAGAAGAAAAAAAGAAACTGGAAACTGCCTGTGAAGTAACTAGATATCATATTTGAAAAAGAATTCAAAATAGTCAGTATAAATGTGTTCAAAAGACTAAGATAAACCATGATTCAAAAAAGTAAAAAAAAAAAGATATGCTGATAATGTTACACCAATACGAATTTTCAACAGAGAGAAATCATTCAAAAAAACAAAATGGAAATTCTGGAGTTACTAAGTATAATAACTGAAATGAAAAATTCACTGACAGGGTGCTCAACAACAGATGTGATCTGGCATAACAAAGAACGAACCTGAAAATACATTGATAGAAATTATGCAATACAAAGAACAAATAGAACAACAAATATAAATGAATGGAGCCTCAGAGAAATATGAATAACCATTAACCACACTACTACATGTACAATGGAAGTACTAGAAAGAGACCAGAGACAGACACATAATAGTAAAAATGCTCAAAGACAAGGCAAAAAGTCTTCAAATAACTTTAAAAGGGGCCTCTCAGCGTCACCAGTTGCTGTGTGTGCACGCGGAGGACCGAGCTAGCTCGCAATAAACACCTCTTTGCTGCTTACATCCATCTTGGGTCTCTGGTGGTCTTTGGGGGTCCTGAATTCGAGCATAACATATGGGGGCTCGTCAGGGATCCCCCTAATAAGCCTACCCAGACACCCCGATCGAGAGGTGATGAAAACCCGGCCGGTAAGTAAAGGCATTGCCGATGTGTAGGAAAATGTACTCTGGATGCATGCAGTAATGGTTTTGTGTTGTGAGGTCGGCAAAAGGTCCAGGTGGACGCACCGAAGGGCAGCCGACAGGGTTTGTGGGAGACGTCCCCAGCCCCTTTCTGGGTTCTGAGTGGATTGCCTGTAGTAAAGTATTTTGTGAAGTATTTRGTAAAGTATTTTGTAGCTGATGGATCCGCGGTCTGCCTGAGCCTTTAGTTTCTGGGTAGCAATCCACGACGCGCTGCAAATTCTGTGGCCGCGCTGTGAATTTTGTGTTATATGTTTTTGTTTTTGTTGTCCTGTCTGTCTCCACCCCAAAACCCTGGCAAGAGAACTAATCTACCAATCTGGGGTTGTCAGACCCAATCTGAGGGGGATGCTCTCCCAATCCGTTTGTCTGAAGGGAAGGCCCCAGTTGGCCTGGGGCCAGCACTCACTTTCATTTTTTGACAATCTGAAAAGGGAATCTATGTCTTTGTGTGTGTGTCTGTGTGTCTTTTTGTCTGTGTCTCTGTTAAGTGTGATGGCATTGTTTTACTTTGGACCGATGCAGAGTCCCAAATTCCAATCTGCCTTAGAGGTGTGGAGATAACTTTAGCTAGATTTTAACCTAAATTGTAAGCGAGATTAGGGAAGCAGTGTTTTCTTTTCTTCCCGTAGTTGGCCTGAGTGCACCCGCTGCGGTTAAGAATGCCTGCTGGGGATCTAAGAACTTTGATATCTCACTTTAACTTTTCTCAAAACCCTGTCCTCATTATTAAATTGGCATTAATTGGCTTTGGGGATGGGAGCCAAACTTTCAGTCATAAATTCTGTCCCAGACCGAGATACTACACCACGGTAAGTGAACGCACCCCATGTCTGTTTGAGGTGCATCTTTCTCTCTTTCTTTCTGGAGGTAAGGTGGGCACCCGATGGCTACTTAAATGCAATTAGTGCAGCCACCACTCTTCAAGACTCGGGTGAGAGGTTTCCCGGCCTAGGCAGCTCTCAATCACCTGTTCTATACAGAGCAGGCATGTTGGGTTCTGCCAAAGCCGCTTCCAACTTTTCTGTCTGGGCCCGGAGAGCAATTGGCGTGAGTACACAGTGTCCTGAATCCCGATCTGCCTCGGATGCGTGGAGGTGGAGGAAAGAGTTTGGAACAACTGCGGAATTCCAGTCTGGGCTACCCTCAGATGTATTCCTAAGGTCCTTTCTCTTGAGCCCCCTCCCGACAGCCCTCAGGGGTATTTAGGGTGATCGTAGATGAATGGCACTGAGGGAAAGTCCCAATCACATTTGCCTCCGTATGGGCTACGCAACACTCCCAACCCCGCATCCATTCCTCCTGGATGCTCCCCTTCTTTCTCAGGTTAGAAATGTTAGCAATTCAGGTTGTAGGACTGAAAAAGACATAAGAAAATTAGTAAAATCTGCCCAGGTTCTCTAAGGAGCATAGATAACTTTCAATAGTCTGTTTTACCGCCCCAATGTTTAAAATGTGCTGTGTTCCTTAAGCTGCTAAGAGAG